TTTATTTAATCTATAATTTATTCTGTATGGGTCTGTAGCTGGAAAAGAGCAAAAGGGCAACCAACAGAAAATTGAAAGTATTAGAGGCAGAACAGAAACAGACAGGAAACAGGCTGCGGTTTGTGAGTTCACGGTTAATTTCCTGGTCATTTTTCACACGTAACGCCTCAACATCACATGGAAACACAGACACACAGTCCGTCAGCGCTAGTATTTAACTCTCATCACGTGAGATGAGCAACAAACTTAATGTTTTACTCTACACCAATAGAAGAGAGCAGCATTAGCAGCATTACTGGAGATTTGAGTTTAAGAAAGTCATTTGAGGAACTGCTGAGAGTATCGTGCTGATTTTCTGAACTCAACCCATGAATAAATGAAGTTCCTGCTGACAGTTTATGTGTTTCTGCTGATGGGTAAGTGCTCAAAGATAGTACAAGTGTTTATTGTATATAAATATGGCTTATTTTGGCAGTGAATATGAGTAAAGCTGTGTGCTGATGTGTGTGTGTGTGTGTGTGTGTGTGTGCAGATTTATAGTGATTTTTTAATGTTTAATATTTAATATGTTTATTTTATTGTCTTATATTGTTTTCTTGCTGAAGTTTATTAAAATGTGTTATGTTCACAAGTTTTTCTTCAAATGTGACATTTTCTTGGATTGAAATATACAGTACAAAGGTAAAATATATTTTAAATGTTTATATATATATCAATAGAAGAGAGCAGCATTAGCAGCATTACTGGAGATTTGAGTTTAAGAAAGTCATTTGAGGAACTGCTGAGAGTATCGTGCTGATTTTCTGAACTCAACCCATGAATAAATGAAGTTCCTGCTGACAGTTTATGTGTTTCTGCTGATGGGTAAGTGCTCAAAGATAGTACAAGTGTTTATTGTATATAAATATGGCTTATTTTGGCAGTGAATATGAGTAAAGCTGTGTGCTGATGTGTGTGTGTGTGTGTGTGTGTGTGTGCGTGCAGTGGGCAGTTCAATGTGTGCGGACATTACAGTGAGAGGAACAGAGGGAGGACAAGTGACTATTAAGTGTGCTTACGCTAATGGATATGAAAACTCTTACAAATACTTCTACAAAGGAATTTACAAAGATAGTAATATTATACTAAACTCTTATGGAGGAGAGTCATCAGTGTTTGATGGCAGATTCTCACTGCGTGATGATCATCAGATGAGCACATTTACGGTGACCATCAGAAACCTGAGGATGGCAGATGCTGGACCGTACGGCTGTAGAGCTGGATGGGGAGAATATAAACAAATCCAGCTGAATGTGGTCAGAGGTGATTGATATTCAGTACTGAACAACAGTCTGTTTCATCCACTATGTTCACGTTTCATACTCTAGTTAATAGTTGTTTTATTAATGTATTTGTTTGATTTAAACAATGTGAGCTTGTTTCTCAGCTCCACAGAAAACAAGACTGGTCCAGATCTCAACCAGCACTATTCGCCCGTATACAAACACCAGCACTGACCACACCGGCACAGGTTCCTGAACACACACAATCACTGACTTCAGCCTCAGACACCTTTATGCACATGCATTCTTGTAAAACTACTGCTAATGTGAAGTCACTGTGTTTACATACACAATTTCAGTCATAATTTCAATCAAAGCATTAATAATTAGCCTGATTCTCCTGAGCCTCAGTACACATTGTAATGCTGCATTCATGATAGTAGTGCAATTACCGTAATTAATATTTTTCAACTAGTTCTGACTAGACAGTTCATGTCTCAAACTTGCACAAACTTTAGAAGTTTCATCAACACCTCAACATCTGTAAAAAATAAACCAATATGGCAGGTGGCCTCAAATGTCAAATAACTGAATGTTTGATATGTCATTTTATTACAACCAGTGCTTCCTGCAGCCATTTCTTGGTTCTACAACTTATGAGACTGCATGTGAAGGGCTCAGAGTAAAATCATTTCGTAATTAAATAATTTCAACATGAGCGCAGCATTTATTTACATGGGTTTTCCATGATGTCTTAACATTTGCATTCATGCATCTGACAGACACTTTTATCCAAAGTATCAGTTCATTTTTAATTGTGAGCAGCACGTTCGCATTTCACTTTTTTTTTTTTCTCTGTGCCAGTGACTCCTCAGACACAAAGTGAAACGACAAAATCAATGACAGGAAATACTGCAGCTCAACTCGATCAGCCAAATGCTGGTAAGCACACAAACTACACTACCCACAATGCAACTGTCCCCTATTTGAATATGTAATATATATTGGAGAAAAGCGATTGGTTTGAACATTTGTGGAGTCACATTTGAACTCTTGTGGCTCACGATAAACATGATAAAAGTGAAGCACACATCAGATTTCATGCGGTTACCCTGATTTCACATCAGCCGCAGACAGAAGCGCTTTCCTCTGAAGAGTCAAGGTTTACCGTTGCGGTTTCACTTTGGTTACACAATACAATGATACATTTCCAATATTATATAATACAGATCTGGCTTCTGTCGCCGGCGGTCTGGGTTCAGTTCTGCTGGTTCTGGTTCTGTGTTCTGGAACGTTCCTCATCCTGAAAAAGAGGAAAAGGAAATCTGGGACAGGTAACCATTTATGTGTGATTATAAAGTCCTTTTTTAGTATTTGATTTGATTTGATTTTGTCTTTTCTCTCTTTTCATGCTCCATTCAGCTTTATTTCAGCAAAATGTGCCGCACAACACGGAGGTGGGTGATCAAATCTTTACCTGTAGAGGTTCAGAAATACATGTTACATTACTGTTTATTGATGAGCAGTGAATACCACCATCAAACGAGTAAATATTCTTGTGTATGTTGTTTTTAGGCTGACCGTATGTATGAGGAGATTCTAAACAGTGATGTTGTTGCTGCAACATCTTCGTCCAATCAGACGCCTGCATCACATCTCAACACCCGCCCACAAGTCTCTACTGTTTATGCCACAGTAACCAATCAGAAGCCTGATTCAAATCCCCATCACACCCATTCGACCAATCAGGTGACGGATACAGACTGTGATTATTATGCCATTATTAAGTCTCCTGAACCAACAACAGACAACAGAATAGAACTGATCTACGCAACAGCGACACATCCGCTAAACATCAAGACAAATGACGGCCCGATATATTCAGCGATCAATCATAAATAAAAAAGACTGTCAAAACATCTTCCACAGACATTTGCACTGATGTTACAAGACGTGAAAAAAAAAAAAAACTGGTACAAGCTGCATATTTTTAATGAATCAATTTTTTGACACACGTTTTTATGAGTATTTTGTAAACTGCATAATGTTACTAACAAGAAAAGTTACTAAAAAAAATAATGTGAACTGAAGTATTCTTTGTATTCAGTACACCTCATCTACAGTTCAATAAACCCGGCGGGCACCTTGATATCAATTTGACGTCAAATATTAGTCAAGACTTGATCAAGATGCTGTAACATCCTTTTAAATTCAGTTTGGACGGAATTTTCTTCCAGTGGTGATTGGGTGAAAATAGGAAGTTAATCCACACTGAAATTAGTTTAATGTATACCTAGATAGCACAGGTACGTCTGCAAGATGTCTGTTAAAGATCGCTTCATCTGGAAAGCATCTGCTGTGCACAAAACATCTGATAGACGTCTTTAAGATGTCCATTTTACATACACTCTAAATCATAAACATCTTAAAGACATCTTCTAAACGTCTATTTAACATCTGATAGGAAACGTCCTATAGACGTATTGCAGATGAGCAAACACTCTAAAAAATACATCTTGCAGACGTCAAATAGACGTCTCTGTGATGTATGTGTGCTGTCAGGGTATGTAGCCCAATATGTCTGACGTTCAATTTACATTAAATCAATGTCATGTCAAGTTTTTGACGTCAGTTTGATTTGCATATTTGACCAGTTTTTTTTACGTCAGTTTTGATGTCTTTTCAACATCAAAAGCCCACTGGGAAGCCAAGTGTAAATTATTATTTTGTTTACCCTAAGCATGCTGTTTGGAGAGCTGTGCTAAATCACGCCCTCTACAGGTTGGTATCATACTGGTTTCAAATGAGTGAGTAAATGATGACAGAATTGTCATTTTGGGTGGATTTCTACCATTAATATATTATAATCTATTAGTACTTGGAGATTGGTGATTCCCAATCAGGCTTATGTGGAAATATTTTGATGTAAAAAAAACAAACAAAAAAACAAACCTTAAAATATAATAATAATAATAGTAATAGGAGAAAATATGTAACATAAATAAATGTGCATTTAGTGTGACCTTAATTATAATTGTACCTGATATTCAGAATAATTAAAAAAATATATACTGAAAAAAAAAAAGATTAAAGAAAGAATGACACAGGATGCCCAATTTTATTAGGCCACAGATACATTTGTAGTGGTTTGTTTCAGGCATAGTTGTATACAAACTGTACTAGTCCCCAATGACAACTAAGTAGGCTAATCAAATCAAGCTATTAAAAATAAAGCCCAACAAATAAAATATATAAAAAGCTAAACACACTAAAGAGTAAAAACTATATTAGGTAAGATAGGTTATTAGCGTATTGATTGTTTTGCTGTGTGCCTGTAACCAATCAAGAAAAACAGCTTACAGACGATTTATCATATTACACAAACTGCATTGTTTTGGCACTGTTGCAGTTAATGCTAATTAATGTGTAACATTGACACTTCATTACCGGTTCAAAATAATCCATTAAACAAGTAGTGATTTGAGGAGCGTGCACTAATATTTTCAGTTCCATTCGTTTGCGCTTTGTTTCAAGGACACGCCCACAACAGAGGAAGTAATTACTATTCACGTAAACTCCATCCACGGGAACAGTTTTTCACAGGAACCGAATAGGGCCTATTACACAACACCGGTGTCTCTGTGAACATGTCATGTAGAGCTGGATGAGGTAAGAGAGACAGAAAGGGGAAGGAAATGATGGTGCTGCATTAGTTCTCTCAGAGCGGAAGAGAAAGACTGTAACGGTTGTCACACAGAATTTGGACTCGTATTTAAGTAAAATGTTCAGCATGTGTGTCGTTCTGCTCGTCTGGTCCAGCATCTGTACAGGTGAGTTTAAGACTCAGGGCTTTTGTGCAGAGTTTGACATGTTCCCTTGTTGTTACCCTGTTATTACATGACCTTCAGTCTCAAATGGATGATACTTGTAAATTATTGTTTTGGTCTGATAATATCTCTTGCTCACACATAATAGCTCTGTATAAAGATGTTTCTGTTTTCAGTTGTTGCAGGTGCTCGTATAGTCACAGGACACAGAGGAGGGAGAGCAGACATCAGATGCACATATGAATCTGGATATAAATCAAATCCAAAGTATTTGTGTAAAGGCGGGTGTATCTTTGGAAGCAGAAACATCATGGTTAAATCAGGATCTCCAGCTAAAGACCAGAGATTCTCTCTGACTGACGACACGACGGCCAGAGTTTTCACCGTCACCATCACTGATCTGAGAACAGAGGATGAAGGACAATACTGGTGTGGAGTGGAGAGGACTTTACCTGATGACTATTCAGAGATTTTGTTGCTCGTTAAACAGGGTAAGCAATTAATTGTATTAGATGGTAATAAAAAATGTGAGTGACCAAGTCATTAAATCTTGTAAGTTATTAACTGTTGAGTTGATTGTGTGTTTAGACTTTAGTGTATTCAGTATAAAATACATCAAGTCAGAGATTTCATGAAAGGTTATATGAATTTTAAATGAAAATCAGTGTGAATTCATCTGAATAAATGACTTTAAGTTGATCTTTCCTCTCATCCATCAGTTAAAAAGACCACTGAGGTTTCAACTATCAGTCCTTTTTCAACCACACCGTCATATTTCAGCACAACAGAACCAAATCCACAATCCACCATCATCACAGATCAGCACAAATCAACAGGTCAGTTCATCTGTCTGTCACTCTATATGACTCTTAGTTATTGAATATTTGAATATCGTGCTTCTAGATGTACTTGAATACATTTATTAGATGATTGCTTTTAGATTAAATGTGTTCAATGTCTTACTGTACATACAGTGTCTGAGATCTACATCTGTGTTGAAGACTGTAGGTTCAGTCCCCTTGTTGTTATATTCTGCTTTAATTTGCTTTGGATAAGAAAGTGTCTTCAATAGAAATTATAAATTGAAAATGTTCATATTCATAAAATTATAGGAGGGGTTTGTGTGTGTACATGTAGTGCTTCGTTTGTATGTGTTCATGTTCTTACCGCGTGAGCAGCACACTCACATTTCACTGGTGTTTTTCTCTTGGTGTCATTGACTCATCAAAAAGAGAGTGAAACAACAAGAACAGGAAATACTACAGTTTAACTCGATCAGCCAAACACTAGTGAGCACATAGACTACACTACCCATGATGCACTGGTGCCCTCACTGATTACATAGAACATGGGCGTCGAACCATTGTATGTGGGACAAGACCACTTCTTAAGACCAATGATACTGGACCCACTCACTTTCACCGTCTCTAATTGAGCGCATATGTTTGTCCACTTTTCAGAGCGCCCTCAGTCAAACCCATTCCACTTGATGAATGCCCTAATAAATTAAACTCCATTTTGCGATTTAGCTACAGCCTTGACTTCCACACTGCTGCTTCCTCAAATCCATTCCGCTTGGCTCATTCAGAGTCTATATAAATTAAACTCCATTCCGTGTTTTCACTGCTCGCATCTGCTGCAAGCTAAACAAAGTATCTTAGCATCTCTGCAAGGTGGGTCTGGCTGTGTGCTGTGCTCACATACTGTCAGTAAACAAGCTGCTATCTAACTGAATGTTCATCATTTGTTCGCCTGTTGCCTTTAAAGGCATCATGTAGTCTTTGTTGCAGCATTGAATTACAGTTACACTATGTTGTTATAACGCTGATAGTTATCTGACGTTTTTCAAAACAACTTACTAGACTTTTGTTGCTCTGTTAATTTTTGGGAAACCTTGCCAGGTATGTGGCACCTGTTTTAGGCTATAAAAGCCATTGTTTAATTAAAAGGCACCAGAATACAGGGAATGGCATCTACTCCAGTAACATTTTTTTTTCTGGGGGAGGACCCATCCACATTTTTTTTTTTTTTTTGCCTCTGACAGCCATGCAATAGAATAAGATATTCTGGAGAAAAGCGATTGGTTTGAACATTTGTGGAGTCACATTTGAACTCTTGAACATTTGAACATGATAAAAGTTCACACATTAGATTTCATGCGGTTACCCTGCTTTCACATCAGCCGTAGACAGAAGCGCTGTCCTCTGAAGAGTCGAGGTTTACCGTTGCGGTTTCACTTTGGTTACACAATACAATGATACATTTCCAATATTATATAATACAGATCTGGCTTTTGTCGCCGGCGGTCTGGGTTCGGTTCTGCTGGTTCTGGTTCTGTGTTCGGGAACGTTCCTCATCCTGAAAAAGAGGAAAAGGAAATCTGGGACAGGTAACAGTTTATGTGTGATTATAAAGTCCTTTTGTACTATTTGATTTGATTTGACTTTGTCTTTTCTCTCTTTTCATGCTCCGTTCAGCTTTATTTCAGCAAAATGTGCCGCACAACATGGAGGTGGGTGATCAAATCTTTACCTGTAGAGGTTCAGAAATGATTGTTCATTGATGAACATTCAGTATTATATATATAAATGAGTACATTTTTGATGTCTATGTTGTTTTTCAGAGTGTCCACATGGATGAGATTGCAAAAAGTGACCCTGGACCCTCTGATGTCATCGCTGCAGCATCTTCGTCCAATCAGACGCCTGCATCACATCTCAACACCCGCCCACAAGTCTCTACTGTTTATGCCACAGTAACCAATCAGAAGCCCGATTCAAATCCCCATCACACCCACTCGACCAATCAGGTGACGGATACAGACTGGGATTATTATGCCAATATTAAGTCTCCTGAACCAACAACAGACAACAGGACAGAAGTGATCTACGCAACAGCGACACATCCACAAAACATCACACCACATCCTCAAAATGTCAAGACAAACGAGAGTATGATATATTCAGTGATAAAACATGAATAAAAAGGACTGTCAAAATTTGTTCAAGTAAAAAAAAAAAAAAAGGTTTTGACACATTTCTGTACATAACAGAGTGTAACTAACGTGTATAATGTATAAAGTTAATAGGGTAAACTGTAATGTTACTAAACATGGAAAAGTTAAATAAATGCAAAAATGAAAGAATTATGTGAACTTCAATTTTCTTTGTAATTAGTACACCTCATCTATTGTTAAATGAAGCCAATATAAAGGTAAATTACTGTCCTCTTTAGCCTGTTTAGCTTAGTTCCTCTCCTCTAGCTGATGTGATGTGAGTCAGGGTTGCCAGATCTGACTCAAAATGTGTAACTTTCATCCCTAAAATAGATATTTTTCAGTCAAGGCTATGCATTACACACAATTTCTAACTAGAGAACTACTGTATAGTTTAGTATTAATCATAAAAACGGCCTGATTTCATAAAGGAGCTTCCTACCACTTTTCCCTTCCTCACAAACATCCCCTTAACCTGTCTCATCATCTAGCACAGTTTTATCACGGGTAGAATATTAAATGTGTAAAATATTTCAATAGCATAATTTCTGTCAGATATAATTTATGTATTATGTAAAAACCCACACCAACATTTTAAAAGTAGCCCAGTTCTGTGTAATAACTGGGGACTTGGCAACCCTGCTCTGACTGCATTGCACACTTTACAGGTGACGTGAAACACTGAACTGAGCTTCAACATGCTCCTGTCACTCTGATATTAAATCTCCATCCAAAATGACTCAGTTTGACTGAAATCACCTGCAAACTGTACGGTCTTGTTCAGTTGAATTATGCTCTTCTAGGCCGGTTACAAAGCCTAAACTATATAAAAAATTATGACTTAAAATCTATTTCCATCTAACAAACACTCATATGTTATGAATCTGTTTAGATTAGTAATGTAAACAGAGTGTGTGCTGTTTTTCAGAGTCAATAATGTGCTCTCTGAAGATGTCCTGAAGAGCTGATGTGGTCAGAGATACAGGAAGGGGAAGGAAATGTTCAATATAGTTGCAGACGCAGCATGCTTTTTCACTCAGTACGGAAGAGAAAGGCCGTAACGCTTGCAGACGCAGAATTTTTGTCTTATATTTAAGCAAAACGCATGTAAACTGTCCAGCATGTGTGTCGTTCTGCTCGTCTTTTCCAGCATCTGTACAGGTGAGTTTGAGACTCTGGGGGATTTTGTACAGAAAATTATGATTTTATATTATTATATTAGTCTGGTCTGATAATATCTCTTGCTCACACATAACAGCTCTGTATAATGATATTTCTGTTTTCAGTTGTTGCAGGTGCTTCAGTTACAGTCATAGGACACAGAGGAGAGAGAGCAGACATCAGATGCACATATGAATCTGGATATGAATCAAATCCAAAGTATTTGTGTAAAGGCGAGTGTAAATTTGGAAGCAGAAACATCATTGTTAAATCAGGATCTCCAGCTAAAGACCAGAGATTCTCTCTGAGTGACGACACGACGGCCAGAGTTTTCACCGTCACCATCACTAATCTGAGAACACAGGATGAAGGACAATACTGGTGTGGAGTGGACAGGACTTTAACTGATGACTATTCAGAGATTTTGTTGCTGGTTAAACAGGGTAAGTGATTCATCTTATTAGCTGTTTTAAAAATTACCTGCATGTAAACAAGCCGAGAGTGACCAGTTAGCTATTAAATCTTAAAGTTGTTTGCTTCGATTTGAATGTGTTGAGTATAAAATACAGCAATAAGCCACTAGTGTGTCTGTGCATTACAGTTATTTTACCACAGTCAAGGGATTTTATTCACACAAAACAAAACAGTACTAAAAAAAAGATTAAATGGATGATACTGTGCATTTTTAAATTAACTGTATGGTCTGTCGGTCAGAATAACTGATATTGATCTTTCCTGTCACCTTATAGATAATAAGACCACTGCGATTTCAACCACCAGCCCTTTTACAGCAACACCGTCATATTTCAGCACAGCAGAAACAAATCCACAATCCAGCAGCATCACAGAAATCACAGAAAGAAAAGAAACAATCACAGATCAGCACAACTCCTCAGCAGGTCAGGTCATCTGTCTGTCGCTCTGCATGCTTATTTCTTGAATATTTTAATGAGATGCATCTATATAAGTTTAAGTACGGGATAATGTACATCCAGCCGGTTGTTATCTCAGAATAAACCCCGACAGGGTAATCAGGACTGTATTGTTATTGTTGTACTATATTGACTGTCTTGTATCAGCCTGAAGGGGTTTATTCTGAGATAACAACCGGCTGGATGTACATTATCCCGCTTATTACACGGCTAAAAAGATTTGTTTTTACCATATATGTTGAAATTAATGCTGAAGTCTTCCATTGTAACACGCGGTGGTTAAGTGTTTTCAGTCACAAGATGGCGCCAGACAGTCAACGATAGCGGAGTGACTCGTTAAGCATATAAGTAGTACCGGTCAAGATAACTCGTAGTACCCGGATGAGCGGTGTGGTATTCAATTTGGCAGCTGTTATCTGGGAATAACATACCGCTGGATGGCGCGATTGACCAATCAGAATCAAGTATTCCACAGAGCCGTGTAATAAAGGACATTAAATGTGTGTAACAGGTGATGTCTTGCACACAGGCTCTGTCATCTACATCTCTGTTGGGTTAGTCATTGTGCTGGTCATCTTCCTCATGGCGCTGACAGTGTTGTGTAGGAAGAGAAGCAAGAAATCACCAAGAGTTACTCAATCTGAACTTCCACAACAAGGTCAGATTTAGAATCTAAACACACACACACACACTCTCTCTCTCTCTCTCTCACACACACACACACACTCACACACATACACACGTTCACGTGCAGTAGGTGTCTAAACAGGGATTTTCCATACACTTCTATTGCTTTTTATACTGCTAGTTATAAATAATACACTAAATCCTAACAGAAAACATTCAGCATTTTTATAGTTTAAAAATAAATATTTTAATAACTTAACTGTTTTATTAACTTTATTTTTCAACCCGATCTCATAAGAAAACTATATTTCACAAGGTGGCGATTTCAAATGAATTCGTACAATTTGACTTGTATGAAAACATGCAACTTTTAGAAGAAAAAAAAAAAAAAAAACGTAAACCTAAATATAACCATCAGCAGAGAATAAGAAGTTTGTATTGAGAAATGGAGAAGTATGAATGAGATTTATACGAATTATCCACTTATTCACCAAAACATTAAATAGATATGAACTTTCATAAGAGTGTGTTGTTATTTTTATGTATCGTTTTTACAAATTAGGACATTGAGATGTCCCAAAATAGGGCGTTTTATCAGGTTTATCTAACTTCAGGAACACAAATCACCAAACTATGACTGAGTACAAACTCTCTCACACACACACACACACACACACATTTCTCAAGAAACTAAATGTCACTTTCTAATATTGAATGTAATGTTAATTCTCCTCATGTTTTGACAGTCTCCGTTGTGCTTCTTCCTTTGAATGAAAACACTGCAGAGGTGAGTGATGATGATGATATATATTTATGAGCTGCCTAAAACACAAGTGTTTGGAAGATAACATGAGTTATTTTGCAGGACATTGACTTTAACGACCACAAATATGAGGAAATAATCAAGCTGCAGCACAAGAACAAAGACATCACAACTGTCTACACGACAGCAGATAGACTAGATGATCCAATGATCTACTCTACAGCAGATAAACCAGAAGTTTCAACTATCTACTCAACAGCAGATAAACCAGACGATTCAATAATCTACTCAACAGTAGATTGACCAGATGATCCAATGATCTACTCAACAGCAGATAAACCAGACGTTTCAACTATCTACTCAACAGCAGATAAACCAGACGATTCAATGATCTACTCGACAGCAGATAAACCAGACGATTCAATGATCTACTCGACAGCAGATTGACCAGATGATCCAACCGCATGATGATTTTACTGACTGCGTCTCAGAGCAGCTTCATGGAATGGAAGCTGATCCAACAATGCATCAGTGACAGGACTAAAAAAAAATCTGATTTTAAGAAGAAATTTTGGATAAAGAAATCCCAGATTTAAAGAAGACATTTTGGATAAAATAAACCAAGATTTTAAGAAAACATTTTGGAAAAATCAGGGCTTAATTGAGGAATCATGTCCTTATCTGCTTGACTTTGTGGAACAGATGTAGATTTTGTATTTTTTTGTAGATTTGTTGTAAAGTTAATGAATTAATTCATTGTCTATTGTATAAACCAGAGGATTCAATGATCTACTCGACAGCAGATAAACCAGACGATTCAATGATCTACTCAACAGCAGATAAACCAGATGATCCAATGATCTACTCAACAGTAGATTGACCAGATGATCCAACCGCATGATGATTTTACTGACTGCGTCTCAGAGCAGCTTCATGGAATGGAAGCTGATCCAACAATGCATCAGTGACAGGACTAAAAAAAAATCTGATTTTAAGAAGAAATTTTGGATAAAGAAATCCCAGATTTAAAGAAGACATTTTGGATAAAATAAACCAAGATTTTAAGAAAACATTTTGGAAAAATCAGGGCTTAATTGAGGAATCATGTCCTTATCTGCTTGACTTTGTGGAACAGATGTAGATTTTGTATTTTTTTGTAGATTTGTTGTAAAGTTAATGAATTAATTCATTGTCTATTGTATTTTTTGTTGCACAGTGAGCAGTGACCCAAGTTGTATGTTATATTATGCTCATTACTGATGTTATGTGTGCATTATTTGATTGTTTATGTGAAATGCAGGCAGTGGCTCATCTTATCACATCGGTTTATGGACAGATGACTTCATATACAACATAACTTCACTTCTGCTTTAGCTGTTATTGGCTAATGATAAATTGCTGGTGTGTTTCCTCATTTGTATGTATGTCTTTTCAGGTAAATGTGACTGCTTAAAGAATAAATGTACTCTGATCTATTACTTAAACATGAACAGAATGATGTGTGTTTTAAAGTGTGAGTGTGTTTTCTGTGGTTTTGTCAGAACTGAATTAATCCATGTATGGGGATGTGGAAATCAAGGGTTTTCTCTAAACACAGAAGATGGGAAGTAAAGTGAAATTGTGAGAAGTGTGAAGACTTCACACTTCATGATACTATGAAGGTTTTTTTTTGTTTTTCATTCAAAGGCCGCGAGTGTAACAAAGAGGAAGTCATGATGCATTACAGATAACAGTCTCACTGGATGCTCACAGTGTGCAAACCATGCTGCACAAAATCTTTATATGTCAACACTTCTGTGCTTTGCTTTCTTCTGTTCAGCTTGTTCTTATTTTGTTAATGCATTTTTTTTTTTTTTTTGAGACCTGTGCCTCTGTTTCTCTCTGTTTCAGTCTAACTTGTACCAGTGACACATGCAGTGGCAGAAGACAAAGTAAGAGGAAGTCTGCATCTTATCACATTCATGATTCACACACTGCCAGGAACCACCTCAAACACACACACCGAGAGCTTCAGACCCCTGTAGAACCGAATCTACTAACAACAGACAAGATCATTGAATAAGAGAGGAGAATGAAGATCATCTGGACTTTCACTCTGCTGATGATTCCTGGTACGAATCTGACTTATTTTTTAAAGCAATTTTTGAATGTTCCTCTCATTTAAGCCTCATAATTAATGTACTAAAGCATTTTATTAAAATGCTGGTTTGTTTTTGTAGGTGCCATGACCTCCATGAGTGTGACTGGACATGCAAGGGGTGCAATCAACATCACATGCACATATCAAGAAAAATATAGAGCAAGTGCAAAGTATTTTTGTAGAGGACAATGGTCAGACTGCACAGACTGAATCAGGACCGATATTAAAAACAAATGGTTTGATGCTGGAAGATTCTCTCTGTTTGACGAAACAACAGCAGCAGTTTTCACTGTTACCATCAGAAATCTGAGTGAACAGGATTCTGGGACATACTATTGTGCAGTTCATCTCCGTATCAGTAAAGATTCCTACACTAAAGTGAAGCTGAAAATTATATCAGGTGAGTAACCCAGATGCATTCTGATCACAAAAGCTGTTATTTTTGGCAGTTTGGTGCATAAATGACAATATTTTGCAAAAATAGTTTTCCTTTTAAATTAAAGGGATAGTTCACCCAAAAATGAAAATGTGATGTGTATCTGCTTACCCCCAGGGCATCCAAGATGTAGGTGACTTTGTTTCTTCAGTAGAACACAAACGAAGATTTTTAACTCAAACCTTTGCAGTCTGTCAGTCATATAATGGAAGTGAATAGGAATCACAGCTTTGAGAGTCAAAAAAAACATACACAAACAAAACCAAATTAAATTGATGTGTAAAGACACGAAACGATCGGTCTGTGCAAGACACTGAACAGTATTTATATAGTTTTTTACCTCTGATTCACCACAATGTCTGAACTGTCCTGAGCGCGTTCGCGACTTCTTTTTCAGCCGGCGCGAGGCGTCTTCTTCTTGTTCTTGCTTTACGGCAGATCGCAGATGCCATGTTTCTGATTGACAGAACCTAGTGTTGCCATGTAGACAGAGAAGAGAAATGGTCCAAGAACTGAGCCCCGAGGCACCTCAGTAGCTAGATGTAGTGACTTGGACACCTCACCTCTCCAAGATACCTTGAAGGACCTATCTGAGAGGTAAGACTCAAACCACTGGCGTGCGGTTCCTGAGATGCCATTTTCCAATAGGGTTGACAGGAGAATCTAGTGATTCTCCGTATCAAAAGCAGCAGACATATTCAGCAAAATAAGTATAGAAGATTTGGAAGACCGTATAGAAGTATAAGTATAGAAGACCGCTCTTGCCAGTCTTAGGGCTTCAACAACTGAGAGCAAAGCAGTCTCGGTCGAATGTCTACTTCTGAAGCCAGATCGGTTGCTGTCCATGAGGTTGTTCTGTGTGAGAAATGCTGAGACTTGGTTGAACACAAATCGTTCAAGTGTTTTTGTAATGAAAGGTAGAAGGGAAAGTGGTCTGTAGTTCTCTAAAAGAGTTGGGTTAAGAGTGGGTTTCTTAAGAAGTAGGGTTATAGTTCGTGGAGAACATCAGACAGCCAAGGGGCAGAAGGGGTGGTACGGGTTTTTCTGGAAGACAAGGGGCAGACAGTGTCTAAACAAGACGTAAGAGTGGAGCAGAAAGTATCAGTAGCACTGTTAACATCAAGAGATGATAACTTTTCCGGGGAAGGAAGCAAAGATGAAACCATAGCAGATAGACGGGGAGGGTGAAAGTGAGCATAGGTTACGTCGAAAAGAGACATGTGTAGGGGTATGTGTTGTGTCAGGAACCATATTAACAATATGTTAAATTAGCAACTTATAAGTCTGCGATCTGCCGGAAAGCAAGAAGAAGAAGAAGACGCGAACGCACTCAGGACAGTTCAGACATTGCAGTGAATCAGAGGTAAAGAAACGATATAAATACTGTTCAGTTTCTTGCACAGACTGATTGTTTCGTGTCTTTACACATCAATGTATCGTCACGAGCCGCAGGGTTTAATTTGGTTTTGTTTGTGTATGTTTTTTTGACTCTCAAAGCCGTGATTCCCATTCACTTCCATTATAAGACTGACAGACTGCAACGGTTTGAGTTAAAAATCTTCGTTTGTGTTCTACTGAAGAAACAAAGTCACCTACATCTTGGATGCCAAATGGATAAATGTTCATTTTTGGGTGAACTATCCCTTTAAGTTTATTTTTCGACCCTATCCCATTTCAATCATTAACTCGCTTCATTTTGATCAATTTCTTAGTAAACAAGACTTGTTTTGTTACTTTGCATCCCAAATAAATGTATCTCCATCACCTTTTGCAGTGAAACACTTATATTTAGCAAATTAAACAAATCATGTTAAAGGGCAAATGCCGGCTCTAAGACTGTCACACATTTTCTGTTCTGTGTCTTGTTTTGGACTTTTATATTGTAGTTGTAGTTCCTTCATTTCCTACTTCCTGTCCTAGTCTGTTTGTAGTTTCTTTGCTAATTAGTTAATTGATTGTTTTCAGCCTGATGAAGGTATCCATAGTCATGTCTTCTGTGATTAAGGTGAACACAAAAATGAGAGGGGACTGGATCCAAATGCAGATTAACAGTTTAATGAAAATAAGGTAAAATGCAAAACAATAGGAGAACCAGAACAAAGCAAAAACACAATGCAAACAAGAACCGGAACAGAAAACACAAACAGATCATTGAGCAGACAACCGAGACTTCACAAAACACAAAGAAACACAAGGGCTATTTTTAAATGTGATAATAAACAGACACCTGTAAACAATCAATGAACTAATCAACAAAGAAACTACAAATAGACTAAAAGACGAAAACAGGAAACTAAGAAACTAGAACTACAACATAAAAGTCCCAAACAACTGGGAAATATGTTACAAATATGTGAGTCAACAGGAAGGTCAGAACAACTGAAAATACAATAAGAGCTCAAATGAAAGTAATTTGGTGACATTACATATGCATGCATACAGTACACATGTATGGCTAAATGTTCTCCTAAAGATGACTACAGGGGGCTAAAGCGTGTTTTAAGGAGGTGGATAAGCGTGTTTGTATTGTGACTGTTTTAACAGTTGTATATGTACTAGAGAAATATGCAAATATTTATATAATATAATATAATAATAATATACTGTTTGTTATTTATAGTTGTAGGTGTAGTATGATCGTAATGGGAGGCAGGATGTTTGCCTTTTCATATGAGTGTCTGAATTTAAAATGAACAAGTTTTATTATAAGATTTAAGATTTACCATTTACAAAAATAAAACTTTATAGGGTTTTAAAATAATTTAAAGCTTGAAAGTTTGTGCATTGATTTTCACAGCCAATAACGTTCTATATTTTTAAGGGAAAAGCACATATCCACCACCCTTGGCATCTTCATCATCATCATCATGATCACCATCATCAATCACAACTCCACCTATTTCACTAAATTCCCAGCCATCAACATCTGATTTCACACTGAGTTCTCCGTCTGTCAATGGTATTCTGGTGATCGATACATTCATTTTCACTCATTTACCTGCAGGCATCAGAGAGAATCAGGCTCTCGTTGTGTTTTCTCTCAGGCTCGTCTCTGATCATCGGTGTGTCTGTGATTCTGCTTCTGCTCATCATTGGACTCGTTTCATGTATAGTTACTCTCTGCAAGAATAAGCGTCAGGCTCGAGATAAAGGTGGGTTTTGTCTTAAAATCAAATCAACTAGTTCCACGACTTCCTTTGCATGCCCTTTGTAAGTCATTTATACGTTTGTTAGAGTGATTTGTTAATGAGAATAATGTTTACAGTTGTTTGCCAGTGAATGACATGCTTGGCTAATGAATGAGTGGATTGGAAGATGTTGTTTCCCCCTGCTGGTCACAACTGATATATGTGCAATATTATTGAATGCAAGTTATTATTATTACTATATTTAATCTAGTATATTTGTTTTTACAGACCCTGATTCAGCCTCTAACATGTCTGAACCTGGAACCGAAAACAGTGAAGCGGTTTGTGAAATCAAATAGTTTGATAATAATGAATGTTTGAATGAATGGCCTTCATCAAAAGCTGTTAATAATATCTTATTCTCTTCTTAGGTTCCTCAAATGCCTTACATTTATGAGGAGATTAAAGACACCAGACTTCACACTGACTGCAAAACTGCCCAATTACCCACAGACCCCTCTGGTTCTATTACCACAGTTTATGCTACTCCACAATCACCCACAAATCCCTCTGTTGAGTGGGATAAACAGTGTAAGAATCAGTTACCTACAAATCCATCTGATTCTTGCACTCTTTATGCTACTCCAGGATTACCCATAAATCCCTCTGATTCTACTAAAACAGTCTCTGCGTCTCCACAATTACCCACAAACCTCTCTGATTCTTCTGACACTGTTTATGCTACAGTTTAACAGTGCAGTAGTCCATGTGATCCAGTGATTACAGTAAATGCATGTTAGTTATTGACCATTTCAGTTTGTTGCTGTACCAGCTGAAGTGATTTATGGAAATTTCTCAATATGCTTAACATTTGTGTGTATTTGTGTATAACTATGAACAACATAAATATAATTGTTTTATAACAATACAGTGTTATTATTTTAGCATCAAATCGCATCAGTAACTAATGTTCTTGTTCTTACAAACTCAGCAGCAGCTCAGCGTGTCTGTCCACATAAACTGCATTATGAATTGATCTACGTTTCAGTTTCATACACCGCTCTTGAAGCTCAGTTATTTGATATTATAAATCATTTCTGAAGTGTAAATTCATGTTGATGAGAACAGTAGCTCATCTGGACAGACTGTGAATGTGTTTGTGTTGAATCTGAGCTGCTGTCCGTGGTGCTGAACATCATCTGAACACTAGAGCGAGCAAGTTTTGATCTGTTTCATGTCATTCAAGTAAGTTTGGAAAACTCAAGTTGTGATTTTTATAAATGTGAATTCACGTATTCGGCTCTCGAAGGTTAGTTATTTAGCATTTATGAAGTGTCATTTCATCAGACCATGTCTGTAAATGTGATTGTGTTGAATCTGAGCTGCTGTCCGTGGTGCTGAACATAATCTGAACACTAGAGTGAGCCGCTTGACTTTCTCTCTCTCTCTCTCTCTCTCTCTCTCTCTCTCACAATGCATCAGTGACGGGACAAAAACAATCCCTAAGTTTATGAAGAAAGTTCAGATAAATAATGGTTTAATTGAGGTCCTCATCTGCTTGACTTTGTGGAATAGATGTAGACAGTCAGTCACTGAACTTACTTAAAACTTTCTTCAGTCTTTCTATATTTATTGTTAAGTTCACAGACATTTACAGCTTTTGCAGCTGTATGTTATATTGTGATCATTACAGATGTTATTTGGGTATTTTTGATTACTTATGTGAAATGCAGGTAGTGGCAGTTTTGAAAGAGGCAGTTTTGTATAGCTAAACAGTTGTGTGTATGGTCAGGCAGTTGCTCTACACTGGCGTTACATACAGGACAAAGTGCTTTGACTAATTAAATGACATGGAAACAGACACAGAAAAACATAAAAACAAACACAAACACATGAGAGCTTCACAGCTTTGTGTCTCATCTGTGTTTAACAGGATCTGGATTCAAATCATAATACAGGCGAACCTACAGTTTATGGACAAATTAATTCATGTGTAATATTAAACTAATTTTTATTTTATAAGAAACTTCTGTTTCTGCAGAACTGAATGTGGAAAATGAGGCTTTTATTTGAATACGGGAGAAGGGAAGTAAAGTGAAAGTGTGTGTTGACTTCTTTCATGTCACTAATGAAGTTTTTTTTTTCATTCAAAGGCCGCAAGGGAAACAAAGAGGAAGTCATGAAGCACGGAGAAAAACATGCAGCAAAAACTTGATATGTTAACAGTTCTGTATTCTGCTTACTGTATTCTGTTTTTGTGATCTTTCTCTCTCTGTTTCAGTTGTACCGGTGACACGCAGCAGCATCTCATCGCATTCGTGACAGAAACACCACCAGAAACACACATCGAGTGCTTCAGAAGAACTGAATCTAGCAACAACAGAAAAGATCATTAAATAAGAGGGAATAATCAAGATTTTCATTTTCACTCTACTGATGATTCCTGGTAAGAATCTTTGAATGAGGGTTTCATTCAAGCCTCATGAGGAACATATTAAAGCATTTTATTTTGGTTTGTTTCGCAGGTACTGTGACCTCAATCCGTGTGACAGGACATTCAGGGGGTGTAGTCAACATCACATGCAAATATGATAGAAAATATACAGACAATGCAAAGTATTTTTGTAAATGGCGGAGGTTAAAGTGCTCTAACCTCATTAAGACTGAGACTGAAGATACATGGTTTCATTCTGGAAGATTCTCTCTGTATGACAACAGAAGTGCAGCAGTTCTCAATGTCAGCATCAGAGATCTGAGATCGCTGGATTCTGGGACATACCGGTGTGTATTTGCTAGATCAGGAACATATTACTACACTGTAGTGAAACTAAGTATATCAGGTGAGTAACCCAGATGCACTTAACCCGTATTTTGAACATGGCCATCATCAGGGCTGTTAGTTTAGGTAATCTGGTGCACAAATTATATAATATAAACCTGTTTTCAGATTTGAATTAAGTTTATACTTTCCGACCAAATTTAAACATTTGCTTAATTTTAAGATTAGACATTTTGTGTCTCAAATAAATGCATCTTGATTTGTGAATGTCATGAGACAAGTTCGATTCAGCCTTATTTCTGTATATTTTTATATCCATGAAATATGAGACAAATTCAAAATCTGCTTTAAAGAAGCTCTAAATAGGCAATGGTGTCATTATTCAACTCAAGTACTGACTAGCATCAGTACTTTTTGCATTGCAACACTGCAAGTTATTTTTAGTAACTTGGTGCGCAAATCATGTTAAAGTGCAAATGCTGGACTTTATTATGCAACAGGAAGTTCAGAGCAACTGAAGATGCAATAAGAGCTTAATAGTTAATACCAAACCTGGATCCTATGTACATATTTATGCAGAAATGGCCAAATGAACTTCACATTATGCTACATTTATGGCAATCGGATGTCCAGTTTACCTCCAGACACTGTCATCTCTGCATTCTCATTGCACTGTGAGTTTCTGATGTTTTGATCTCCTGTTCTCTCAGGCTCGTCTCTGATCATCGGTCTGTCTGTGATTTCGGTTCTGCTCATCATTGTACTCGTGTTAGTGATCGTGGCTCTCTGCAAGAGGCATCAGGCTCACAGTAAACCACTTTCTTTTGAAATCACAAGAAACTTTTTTCTTTGCACCTGTTTACTCGCTTAGAAATGCATTTATTTGAAAAATATTTTAAAGCATGGTATTATATTACTGTATAACGGTTATTTATAGTCTAATTATATTGTAATCTAGTATATTTGTTTTTACAGGCTCTGATTCAGCCTCTAGAATGCCTGAATCTGGAACAGAAAACAGTGAAGCGGTTGGTAAAGTCAATGTGTTTGATAGTAATGTGTTTGTACAGTCTGAAGATGACCATAATCTTGCTGTGACGTCAGAGAACCTCGAGACCTGTAGATAATTGTTCATTCTCTTCTCAGGTTCCTCAAACGGGCTGCATTTATGAGGAAATTGCAGACAGCAGATCTCACACGGATCCAGATACAGGAACTAAAACAGTCTATGCTATGGCCCAATTACCCATAAACCCCTCTGATTCCACTAAAACAGTCTATGCGACTCCACAATTACCCATAAACCCCTCTGATTCCACTAAAACAGTCTATGCGACTCCACAATTACCCATAAACCCCTCTGATTCCACTAAAACAGTCTATGCGACTCCACAATTATCCATAAACCAGTCTGACTCGTCTAACACTGTTTACACAACAGTTTAATATCACAGAAGTTCACGTGTCTCTCAGTTATCATCGTCTACTACACAGACAGTCTTGATGTGATGTTCCAATTATCTGTAATCACATTTGAATATCTATCATTACATGCAGTTATGAGCCAGTGATTACAGTAAATACATAATGATCGACTGTTTCAGTTTAAGCTATTTGCTCAGTAATCACAACCATTGTGCCTGAAGTAATTTATGTAATTATCTCAATATACCTAAAAATGGTATTTATTTGTGTATAACTATGAACAAAATAAAAGCTAACTGTTATTTTGTTATAAGAATACAGTTACATTTTTAGCATCAAATCACATTGGTAACTAAAGTTCCTGTTGCAGCAGCTCATGTCTGTTCATATAAACCGCTTCATCATTTGCTCTTGAAGATCAGTTATTCAGCATGATGCAATGTTTATGATGTGTGATTTCAGAAGATCGGTTGGACTGTGAATGTGATTGTTTCTGTGTTTGTGTGTCAGGGTTCTGTCACTTCTGTCTGGTTTATTGGTGACAGAGCCCGGACTCTCCTGTAGTCTTGTCTTTTATCTATAGTATAATTTCTTAAGTATAGTGTTAAGTGTACAATAACACAAAAATTATTCAGAGCAAATAATATATAGTCTTATGTTACTACTATACATGATATACGTATTTTTAATACTGTTGGTTTTAATTACTGTATCAGTGAGTGAAATGTGTATATTTGTATCTAATTATTTGAAAAAAAAAAATAGCATGGATCATGGGATGATTGGAAAGGGGCCTCCACATGCTGTCTTTGCATAAGGCCCGGGATTCTGTGCTACACCCCTGGTAGTTAGTAACGTAATCTTGGTTATTTAGTTCAGATAATATATTATGATTACTTTTTACATAACTTGTTTTAAACTTACCATTAAACATACCATATTGATATAAAAAAGCAAAGACAAAGAAAATGCAATCCATTATTTGATATCAACATCATGAAGTGCGTTAAACATTACATCACACCACGGTTTTCCTGACTGGGCTTAATGTATGAACTGCAGTGGGTTCGCTAATAATTAAATCAGAGTCACTGGATATGATGACAACATAGTGCTTCACAAAATTATTTACATGAAAATTACATGACCATTCTATATTGTGGTAACTATTTATTTTGATAGTCCTCTTTAGACATTCAACTGCCTATACATAACTTTGCAACTACATGTCAACTAGCAGTCATTAGAGTATTAGTAGACTGTCTGCTTAATATCTGCTAACACTTTATTTTGATGGTCGCTCAACAGACATTCTACTGACTACGAGTAACTTTGCAAGTATGGCATCTTATTCTACTAACCCTAACCTTACAGTCTACAAATGCTCTAATGAGAGTTAGTTGACATGTAGTAGTTGCAAAGTTAATTACAGTTAGTAGAATGTCTAAAGTGGGCTATCGAAATAACGTGTAATCTATATGGTGAATATAGTCAAAGCTGAATGGTATGAGACACAGCAGGATTTTTAGAGAGGAAACTTTAAAATAGAAAAAAAATAATTTGGGAGAATCAATAAATTCTGAAGAATTTACTGCCAATTTATGAATACTATGTGATCATGTAATCCATTAAAAAAAAGTGACTGTAATCTGATTATGAGCATTTTAAAATGCAGTGTAACCATTACGATTACTCAGTGTTTGGAATCTGATTATGTAATCCAGATTACAAGTAATCAGTTGCTACCCAGAACTACTTCACGGTGATGAACAGGAAAATAAGAGTATTAATGTTCCAAAAAAATTTAATTTCAACTGTAAAGCATGCAGCTACTGTCAATAGTAGTTCCAGAAATCAATCCTGATAATATTGTTTTTTGACATAAATTCTCCATAAACTCAAGGTTTGTGAGGAATACCTTAAAATGTACCGTTTACATAAAGGAAACTCTATTGGGTTTGAAAAGTGAGTAAATTTGTAGAATTTTTATAAGATGCGAATGTAAAAACTCTTGCATGATCGTTTTTTTATTGTATTTATGCAACTCTTGTACATCTTGTAACTCAGTTGCCATGAGCCTCAGCTGCTGACATTATAATGTACACTTACGCTACTACTCGTCAATCAGTTCACCTATTACTCTACATTACCAGCATTCTGATGTAACATTACATTTAACATCTATTATGACCAGTATTTTGAGGAGGAATATTCACTGATTTTTGAAAGTTCACCTCCAGAAGTTGTAATCTGGACATTGTCACTGCGCTGTGAGTTTCACTCATGTTTTGATCTCCTGTTTTCTCAGGTTCCTCTCTGATCATCGGTCTGTCTGTGGTTGCGGTTCTGATCATCACTGGACTCGTATCATACATAGTGATTCACTGCATGACGCGTAAGACTCATGGTCAAACTCTTTCCTTTTTTGTGTTGAACTAGTTCGACAGCTTTCTTTGCATGTCATTTGTTACTCTTTTTACAGGTTTGTCATAGTAATTAATTCATCAGAATAATGTAAGTGAGTTGCATGGTTGTCTGAGGAATAGTGAATGATGAAAAGATGTTTTTTCCCCCTGCTGGTCACAACTAGACAATGCACAGTTGCGCTTTATTTTACAGTCTGTGTACTTACAATGTACTTAGCCAAGAAAGTACTCATACGGTAACTATATGGGATAAGGCTAGATTTAGTGCCTGGTTACTATTACCCAGCTATTGTAATTACTACAAAAAGTACATAGATTTTTACATGTTGAACAGGACTGTAAAATAAAGTGCTAACAAATGCACTGTGAAATGATGTGCAAAGTAATTACAAAATAATTATTTGTGTGTTTTAAAGTCTATTAAGTTGAGCATCAGTGAGACATATTATATTTAACATATTCTTTTTGTGTGGTATTTTGTTTTGAAATCCCAAGGAACTATAGTGAAGTCTTCTTTGAGTATAAAAGAATATATTTTTTTGTAAATGACATGAACTAAAATGTTTTCTGAGGAATAGAAAGTGGATGGAAAGATGTTGTTTCCCCCAAACAAAGTAAAACAAATACAATTCAAAAATGATTACGATTAAAAAATACATTTTAAAAATCTAAAATGTTGAGCACGAATGTGAAAGATTACTGTATTTAATGTAGTATATTTGTTTTACAGGCTCTAGAATGCCTGAAACAGAAAACAGTGAAGTGGTTTGTAAAATCAATGTGTTTGATAATAATGTGTTTGCATGAAGATGACCATAATCCTGCTGTGATGTCTGAGAGCCTCGAGAGCTCTGAATAATGTATCATTATTTTCTCAGGTTCCTCAAACGGGCTTCATTTATGAGGAAATTGCAGACACCAGACCTCACACTGATCCAAAATACAGGAACTAAAACAGTCTATGCTACAGCTCAATTACCCATAAACCCCTCTGATTAGTTGCTCCA